ACTATTTATATTTTAAATTTATTAAAAATTATTCTATTTTTTCGGTTGTCTTGTTTTTAACTATTATTTATTTATGTTTTTGATTGTTTAATTTCTTTAAAATAAATAAATAATTTATATTAAAATAAATAATGGTTTCAGTTAATTTGTTTTTCTCTTACATTTAAAATGGACTTATTCGATGCTTTTGAACTTTGAGTGCAACTGTACAATATTTTCGTAATTTTTTTTCAGCAATATTAATATTATGAATTTTTTCGGCCATCGAACATTAGCAATCAAATTTCATCATTCACAAATCAACCATTAATTTATTTTTTTGTTGTAGTACAAACTCTTGGAACTAATATACCTATACTTATAATAAGAAAAATGAAGAGATAAATGAAAGAAGAGATGGATGACTCCGTGGCGCAGTTGCCAAGGTACTTTGGCTTTGGCATAGGGGGTCTTGGGTTCTATTCTCACACGTTTGTGTTACCTACAGATAATTGTCTTGGGTCTTCGTGTTTGTCCTCGTGTAAATGTATTTAAAACAACACAGGATAATGTTATCCTATAGCAAGAAAAATGTTTTTAAAAAAAATATTTATGTTCGTAACCGTCCTAACAACACAGGATAATGTTATCCTTACTGTATAACGGCAATGTTTAAAAAAATAATTTCGTTCATAGTTCTATATCCGGAGGATTTGAATGATAATAATACACTGTATATTTCTTACTTTTTACACTGTGTATTTTTCAACTAAAAAGATTAAAAGATATTTAACATGTTAATCCTAACTTAAACAGAGATACAAGTTTTCATGAACCAAGAAACACGGTCTCAGGGTCTAGCACATCGTGGTTAATTTTGTTTGAATGTTTTAACTTAAATCTGCGTTAAATAAAATAAATTTATAGAAACTCAACGAGGTCGGTTATGATAACTGCAGCTAATCTTATCTACATATATTAAACTTCTGAATAATTATTATTGCACGATCATTAATCTAAACACGTGCGGGGGATCGAGTTGTGTTATCAGTTTGTAAGTCATTATCGTCATCTTCGTTTGATGACGAAAGCGAACATACAATCGACATATAATATATAATATTGGTGTACGATTGTGATGCAATACAAGTAATAGATGTATTTATGTTGTATTTTTTTTTTTTGGGAAAAAAGCGGCAAACTAGCAGGCGGCTCACTTGATGGTAAGTGAAATAAATGCCTTGAAAATTGCGCTGTTGTGGAACGCTGGACATCGAGGTGGTGTGGATGAAATTATTGAATATTTTGAAATATAACTCAACGGTGTAACATAGCAGAGCCGAAACCGTGGGGATTGACTAGAAATTCTCTTTGTCCGTAACTTTTACAGGGCTTACAGGCAAAAAGCGGAGGTGGTGGCACAAGGCATCCATCAGTGTATTGACACAGGCTGATGATAATGTAACTGTACCGATAACTCAATTTTTGTCGTCGATAATTAGTTGCTATGGATTAATCTACTTTTTACTCATGATTTTAATGAGTAAGATCTTCTGCTTCTTTAGAAACGAATGATTTTTTTGCAAAATGCGATATTTTGTTTAAAATGGCATTAGCTTTTGGAAAGTGAAATTTTAGACGTAAGTATTCATTTAATTTTTTTTTTAATTCTGACACCGAAAATTTCTTCTTACTATAGATGAGCTCATAGCTTTAGATAAATGATAAGGTTGGGCCACCCGAAACATTTTTTGTTGGTAATACAACGTTTGCCGCGTCAGATAGTCCAAACTTTAATATTATAAATGCGAAAGTTACTCTGTCTGTCTGTCTGTCTCGCTTTCACGTCAAAACTACTGAACCGATTTAAATTAAATTTGGTATACAAATAGTCTAGAGCCTGAGAAAGGACATAGGCTAATTTTTAAGTGGAAAAAGGGTTGTAAAGGGTTGAAAATATCTTTATTTAAAATATATATATATAATTTCTAAAGAAAGGTATTCATATAAGGACTTCAACGCGAGCAAAGCCGCGGGCGAAAAGTATTGTATAAAACTACTAGAACTAGTATTGTATAAAATTTATACAGATTATACTCTAAATATAGGTTAAGATTATCCTCTGTCGCATGGACGGAAACCTAAGAGTGAAAAATTAACTGCTGGTAAACAAATAGGTTTAAATGTTAAGGTACCATCTAAGATTCCACCCTTACTTACCATCAACAATGTTAGTAGTCAGTCCAGCACTGGCAAATTTTTGGAAAAAAACTGGCCAGGTATGAATCGGACTCGCGCTCGAAGGGTTCCGTACCAATCTATAAAAAAGGCAAAAAAAACTCATGTCTGTTGTATGGGAGCCCCACTTAAATATTTCTATTCTGTATTTTAGTATTTGTTATTATAATGGTAACAGAAATACATCATCTGTGTATATTTCAACTGTCTAACTATCACGGTTCATGGGATATAACCTCATGATATACGGACAGACAGACAGCGGAGTTTTAATAAAAGGGTTCCGTTTTACCCTTTGGATACGGAACCCTGGCGACCCACGTACCAAAGCGAATCGCTGTTTAATCGCTGTATCCGAGTAATAATTTGAATGGGATAGTGGTGTTTATGTTGAAGATGCGGATGGATGATGTGAGCTCATCTCAAAATTAAAGTCAAATAATCTTTATTCAATATAAGCTTAAGCTCTTATTGAACATCAACAAAAAATCTAACATCTAATGTTCATTGTAAACTCCCCTTCGACACTCACAACACTAAAGTGCAGACGTGTTGCCAGCCAACAGGAGAGTGAAGATATGCAAAATGTAAAAACCGCCACCACACGCCGGCCTGGCAAAGGTGCTTCCCGGTCGAGATGGCCTATTCCATTTGTTTAAGCTGTTATTTTAGTGATAATTTATTTGAGTTTTATAACTCTTCATTGAAGCCAATTATAGTTTTCCACAATTTGGTAACATATAGGACGTAAGGGTCGTGATAGCTCAGTGTCCGGGCGCTCGCCTTTAATTCAATATACTCGAGCAACCTGAGTTCGATCCCCGGTGCGGGCACCAATGAAGTTTTTAACTTTAAGTGCTGACTTATCACGCGCTCCGCGGTGAAGGAAAACATCGTGAGGAAACCTGCATATTTTCGAAATAATAACAAAAAAAAATATTTTTCGAAGATATGTGAAGTCCGCCAATCCGCAGTGGGGCCGCGTGGTGGACTATGCCCTGATACCCTCTGTATAGAGGAGGTCCCTTTGCCCATCAGGGCTTACCTTTTTTTTACTTTATAGGAAGTAATACACTCATTCATTTTTAATATCGATTTCAAATGACTGTGAGAAAAAAATCTTATGTAAACTGTAACACTAATTTAGTAATTATAAAAATTGTACTAAATAAAAAACGGTTTGACTATATTATTTACTAATGAAACAAAACATTGCTGCTGTTGCTGGAGGAATTACGAGTACATAAAAATCAACAAAATATATGTATCAATCTATATCGAGACATCAACCCGACAAAGCGATGCGAAATATATCAAAGATGCGGGGAAATGACTCTTGCTCTGCACATGCAAGTCCCCTGGCTCCTGCTAATTTTATACTTCTTGTGTATACACTTAAATAATTCAAAGACAAAAAAATATATGACCGCAGAGTTTCATGCCGGTTCTTCTCTGGCAGGTCTGGTTTAGTGAACCGGTGGTAGTTTTTAACGTTTAAGGGCTTAAAATAAGCCTATGTTGAATAAAGAAATTTTGACTTTGAATGACTACCACTTCAACATTGCATACCTCCTTTCATTTTATTGTATAGCTAGGAACTCTCTTTATTGGTACCTCGTTTAATTACTAGGCAATTAGGGACATAATATGACCTACAAAGTTGGCGGCCTTGTGGTATATACATTCATATATATACCACAAGGCAACAAGTATATAAGTTCGTAGATGCTTGATTTCCCAGTGTTGTTCACGAAATGAATTTTTCATTCGATTTATTTTTATTAATGTTTTCCGCACATTTCGACGGGACCAAACACCGTCAACGGGACGAAATTTAAAGCCAGATAAGTTTACCGTTTACTACTCACTTACGTATTTTCCTGATGTAATAACACAATTAATATTGTAATTAATAATGTAATAATGTATTTCATGCATTGACGCCTCGGCCTCTGCGGTTGCAGGATGGATAGTACAGATTGATTATTTTCATAATATAACAACTTTTATCGACAAAATGATGTCACACGACCTAATTTACTGTTTATGAAAAGAACTAATCGTATTTGAAAAAGAAAGTTAGCACACAATTAACATATCACGAAACACTATGTTTATTTCATATAAAGACACTAAGAAAGATAATTTCATTTGATACGTTACGGCTACTCAGTAAAAACCTGTTTTAAACAGAGGTTACGATAATTTGACGCACTCTTCATGTTCTGAGTTCTGCAAAAAAATTACCATTGGGTCATTGACCGCTCTCGTCGCCGATAAAAAAAACAATATTTTATTAATGAAAATTATTTCAATCAATTAAATTTAAATCATTTCCATCACTTGTTATTACACTTATTCATATATTTGACTGGTACTTGGCCTTAATTAATTCAGGAAGCCCACTTAAAACAAAAAAATAACTCAAATCAATATGGGCTCTGTTACCTATATATTAATCTTTTCGTAGCGAACCCAATCAAATCGCTTTACGCTCCGTGAGAAAATGATCTAAAACACAATTCGTCATACATTCGTATTAATCATAAACGTGGCCATTTAAAGGCGTTAAAAACTATTTTCAGCCATAAAGATATTCGAGCAGTGACGAAGAGAAAAAAATAAAATATAAGCGAGTAAACACTGGCAGCTTTCAGGAACAGATTAAAAAGTTGATAACTTTTTAAATCTGTTATCGATGCGCACGAGTGGTATAGTCCTCTGGGCGGTCGATCACCGCTGTCAGTCAGCGAAGCCACCTGGTGGCGAGTGGTTGGTTAGTGATGGCGCGAGTACACCTCTTGATGTTGGCGCAAGCCTTCGCCGTCCTTATTGTGGCAGGTTCGTATTTTTTTTATAAAGATTTTATGGCTTGGTAACAAGATTTTCAAGCCAGACAGTTTCGTATAGTGGCAACTGTTTTTTTTTTAATAAAAATGGATAAAGGTTTAATAAAAATATTAACATTAAAATTAAAAATAATGGAGTGAGAAATAAAAGCATAAAGAATACTGCCTTTTGTTTTTTAAAAGAGTGTTCTCGGTTATAGCTATAGTTATCAGTGGTAAAGGTTTTTCTAAACATTGTATTTTGTGGTATAAACATTCTTAAATGTCAATGTTGGTCTCGTATTTAAGACATAAAGTGCATCATATCTTCACGGCGCCAGAAATTTAAAAAAAATGTCCTTGTCGCTTTTTTTCTGATGTTGACAAAGCCATATGTGGTTTACACTACTTTAATCTGGAAATACTGAAGGTCCCACTAAGAGGATAACATTCAAGTAAAACCATTATGAAAGGTATCAATTTTACTGTTAAACTCTCTTAAGCATGGTTAACTCAATGAAACCGTGAACTTGCCGTTCACAATATCCTAATTATTACCATTAAATATTCTTAATTGCTCCAAATTAATCCCGTGTTGCCTTAACAATTGGGATTTTCAACTCTACGATCACACTTCGTGTCTAGTAACAATGTGTAAATTTAATGCCATTGTTTCAAATTGATGCTTCGATCGTGTGGACAAGCCATTGAAATGGTTAAATTCGGTGCACATATTCAGTCCCATTTCTTGTTTCGAGAAATCATCGAGAAATTTTTCGCCGCTTTTTTATCTGAGAAAGTAGCAAACGAGCTGGCGGTTCACCTGATGTTAAGTAATAACCGCCACCCACGGAAATTTGCGTCACCCGTAGGTTGCAGATGCGTTGCCACCTTTTAATAAAGTGGGACCCATTCACCTCCCCTACCAGACGAAACCAGAAGTATCACACTTCCACTTCACGCCGGTCCTCTGAGTTCGTGGTACTAACCCGGACTGACCTGCCCATTCGTGCAACAGAGAAAACTGTTGAGTAGCCCTACCACAGTTAATCCAAGCATCGAAGAATCCCCGCCTTCCAGGTTACATGCCATACGCTCTAGCCACCAAACTAAGAGTCGCAATCATCACCCCATGATAATCTCGATGACCTATCTACTATATTTTATTACAATTTTGGAATACCTTTTAAAAGGTGTTATTTCATCTAATTAATTAGATAATTAATGTATTCGTTATACAAAAGTGTGCTTATTTCTATGGGGGTCATAGTGACCTCTAGACTAAGGCAAAGGTGAATCCTGGTCTAAAACAAGCAAATAACAATACGCATATAAATTTGAACTCTACGTGACTTACATGAAGATGTCACTTGCCCATTAAAACAAATCTTACGAAAAAGAAAAATCGTCTTAAATGTAAAGTTAAACCAAATTGTTTTATCATTATGTTTAAAATACCGAACCGAATAAAATACCGACCGAACCCGAATGGCGTAGTGGGTAGTGTACCTGCCTTCTGCGCCAGAGGGTGTGGGTTCGATCCCCACTACTGGAAAAATATTGTGTGATGAACATAGTGTTTTTCTAGTGTCTGCATGTTTATATATCTATAATATGTATTTATTTACAAAAGAAAAGTACGTTTAAGTATGTTTATCAGTTATCTAGTAACCATAGTACAAGCTTTGCTTAGTTTGGGATTAAAGAACGTTGTGTAGAAATGTGTCCTAAATATTTATTTTTTATTTATTTAAAATACTTCAACTGAATTTCGATGAATTACTATAAAACATTAAGCCGTGATAGCTCTGTGTCCGGGCGCTCGCCTTAATTCAGTTTACTCGAGCAACCTGATTTCGATTCCCGATTCCAACACTAATGAAATTGTTAATTTTAAGTGGTGACTGTCACATTTTTTTAGAATGTGATAAATTTCCTTCAGGAAAACATCGTCAGGAAACCTGAATATTTTCGAAATAATAACAAATAATATTTCAAAATGCGAAGTCCGCCAATCCACAGTGGGGTGGCGTGGTGTACTATGCCCTACACACTCAGGTACTGAAAGCAAAAACATCAGTTAATACAAGATACACACTCTTAACGGATGCTCTCACCCAGCAGTGTGACATTTATAGCGCTTTACTTTACTTTTACTTGTCATGTCAATGTCAAAGCTGGTATATGTATGCTAAAGGGCGCACGTGAATTGCTATATATTTTAATTACAAAATATCACTTGTTAAATACAATAACGGTCCGGTTCGAGAGAGAGAGAGAGATTTGTAATCACTCAAAATTGCTGGTTAACTAGCTTTTCTGCACGGCTTCGTCTGCTATCCGCCCATACAATATATTATTATCGACCTTATTTAGACGCGCTTTTTGACCCTATACCGTGCAGGAGGTACAACGAACAGCATTATAGACAGTTTCAATACTAACCATAATTTTACTGTAAAGTTTTAGTGTGAAGACTACTGTGTCTTAGGTTCGGTGTCAAAAGTAGAAAGCACACATTCAACGTTGGTTCAATTTGTGATTGAGAAATACCAAGTTTATCTTATCCTGCAGTATGGGGTAATGTTAAAAAAGAGTTTCATATAAATCACGCTAACAGATAGTCTTATCATTTACGCTAATTGTATAGAGACAATAACAGATTAATAATAGAAACGATAGCGCACGTGGTTTCGTGATCACAGATAATTAAGAGGTTATACCTGATTAAAAGCTGATGGAGTATTTGATAAAGATTTATTCATCATATCTTTATGTCTAATAATACTATCTATATTATCTGTTTAATGTGTACACTACATTTATATTGTAATATTCTTTATATTGATTTTAGCAATGCGTAGAATAATAAAAGAAAACGCAACCTTTACTGGCACTGGCTCAATTTACAGACAGATATCATATAAAAAAGATTCTTACTCCCTTAATGTGAATTATTTAAGTTTAGCTCTAACATAAATTTTTTTGATCAAATATACCGCGAAGTATTTTTGCACTATGTTATCTACACTACTCATACTTGGTGGCTGATAAAAATACTCCAATGAACTTCTCTTTTGAAAATAATGGTATATTATAGGTGTATAAATAATCACACACAACAAAAACGCTATGCCTATCATACAATGTTTGCCAGATTTGGGGATCAAACCCACTCCGGGGAGATGTAAAAGATAAGTTCAATATTTACCACACCAATGGGATATATTTATTACTGCTACATAAAAACAGTATAAAACCGGTCAAGTGCGCGTCCGAGTTGCGTAGAAAGATTTCCGTACTATTAAATATAAAACGGCAAAAAAATCAAGTCTGCTGTATGGGAGCATCACTTAAATATTTTTCAATTTATTATGTTCTTTAGTATTTGTTGTTATAACGGCAATCATCATCACTTGTGATAATTTCAACTGTCCAACTATCATGGTGCATGAGATACAGGCTGTATCTCATGAACCATGTGACAGGTGGACAGACGGACTGACATCGGAGTCTTAGTAATAGGGTCCAGTTTTACTCTTTGGGTACGGAACCCTAATAAAAACTTGGTGAACTAGAAGTTATTGCGTGTCGGTCATTAGAAAACAAATCGGCACATAAGTTTTTACAAGAAAGTGACGTAATACTATTCAGCCATAATGTAACTTTGATTTACTGACCTATGACAAGCCGGGAAAAGGACTTATTTTTAAACGGTATTATCTGCCTTTTAGTTATCTGGTAAGCATATTTTTTTTATGAGAGAATTCGGCAATCGCGCTGGCCGTTCACCTCGTGTTAAGTGATAACCGCCGCTGCAGAACAATTGCAACACCCTTAGGGTTGCAGATGCGTTGCCACCTTTTTATAAAGTGGGTTCCGGTTACTTCAGTCAACAGACGAATCTCAGAAATACAAAACTCCCACTCCACGCCGGTCTTCCGTGAGGTCGTGGTACTTCCCGGGACGGACCTGCCCATCCCGCGCGTGTCCCTGTCAATAAGGCATAGTAATTTGTGTTCATCAAGTGGTCATCGGCCATAGGTTATAAAACTATTAGTTCTTCTCTTTCTGCTTTATTTTTTAGTATCTTACACAAAAAAAAAACTCGAACGTATAGCTGACATTTATCTCTAAATCACACAAATAATTAGATACAATGTTAGTATCCAACTCTTATTTTTACAATCATTTAAAATTTCACTGTCACATCCGTCATGAAGAACACAAATTAGAAATGAAGAGATCAAATGAGTACTCTTAAAAGTGCTCCGAATTGGTCACAAAATGGTCAGTGATTTTTATAAATCATACGGCCCCATCAATTAAGTGGCCCAAATTATGAAATTTGAGCTCTAAAACAGCGGTCCGCACCTTCCACGAATATTTATATTAATTTCATTGATATTTGGTAATTGGTCAATACGTGAACACTCACTAGAGAGGGTTTAAAATTCCATGGTTATCGGAAAAAAATCGGACGAACTAATCCTAGAAATCGGATCTAAAACTATTTCAATTGGTCACAAAATGTTAACAACTCTAATTAATTTTGATAATTGGTCAATGTTATTTACATATTAATTAGAAAAAATCTTGGTGAACTTTTTGTGATTAGCACCGCAAAATAATAATTTTGCAATATCAATCAAAGATCCTAGAAAGTTACCAAATACACATTTGGTCAAAAACTAGCAATAATTGGTCAACAATATAAAAATTAGAATTATTATATACGAGTATAAAAGTAAAAATTTAAAGGTTATATTAATTGATTATTAAAAGTATTACGTTGTACTTTTCTTCGATAAATATAAATATTAATGTATTCAAATTTCTTACATTATAGTTGTATTATGTTTTTTTCTGAAACTATAATTTCCATTTATCATTAAAAAGATGTTCTATTCTTCTTAGTTTTCATTGGTAAAATATAAGAAATATTAGAAGTTTTTTATAATTCGCTATTAAATTTATTATCATACATAATTTGAAATGTTATTGTATATTTTAACACGCGTCGTCAAAGATTTGAAATATGCTAATAATGTAAAGCTTAACAGCGGCACTTTGTTAATGTTATAAAATGCTTTTATTGGGCTATTGGTTATAATCAAGAAGACATAAGGATGGGCGGTTTCCATAAAATTTGCTAATTTGTTGCTAATTAAATTTCAGTTAACTTTTATGGTTACCACCATCTTAAATGACCATTGACATTTTCAACGCTTTCAAGGTTGCGAATGCGTTGCCTTGTAATAAAATGGGCCCCGGCTACCTCACTCACCAGAATTATAACTGGTTTCACCACTGGTTTTCTGTGAGTTTGTGGTACTTACCCGGAAGGAACTATCGATTCATAGAATAGTCAAATCTGTTGCGTGGCCGTATCTTTTATTTTGATTTCGAGGTGATTTAGTTTGGGAACAAAAAATAAAAGCTAGATAGATGATAAGTTATGGCGTATGGTCGAGTCTTATTTTTCGATATATTGATTTCAAATAATCCTTGACTAAAGATAATTCGCTCATACGGGGCTACTCGCAGTGTTATTGTTAAGTCAAATCTTCAATAACATTTATGTTTGTTTTGACAGATAATAGAAAGCGCAAAATTTTATTGTTTTGTTCACATTTTTTTTTTATTTACGTTCTTATTTTTGACAGTCATGTAAATAACTAGTACTAATTATTGATACGTGGTGTGCGAAATACAATAATTAACAGAACCGACGATTATCGTCTAGTAATCCTGAAATGACGACCCGAATGGTGTAGTGAAGAGTGTACCTGCTTCCTGCGCCAGAGGATGTGGGTTCGATCCCCACTACTGGAAAAATATTGTGTGATGAACATAGTGTTTTTCTAGTGTCTGGGTGTCTATATATGTATTATATGTATTTATTTACAAAAAAAAATGTTCAGGAGGCTTAAGGCTGTGTTATTTTACCACATTTATTCTGTTGTCATGTCAATCGCATGGATTTTGAACCAATGACTTTATTTATTAATATATATTATTACATATATTCTATAGATAACGCATATATCGGTTTTATATTATGGCGGATCGCGTTCGTAACAATAACATACTGTCCCTGTTTATTTTCCTTTCGATATCTTTAAGGTCTGTTTTAGATGGCTAAACGATGGTACTTTATTTTGAGTATATATAATTGTATGTTGTACTACTAAGAAATAAAATAAAAAAGTTTCTTAAATGTATATTTTATATACGGATTTTATCGTGTTTATATAAGACTTTTAATTGTGAAGGTTCCGAACCTTTTCTAGCATTCACGGACCTGGCCAGTCCTCTAACAGCGAAAACTGTTGCATGGCCTTACCTACCACCCTACCACCATAGGCTTACACACTTACGTCAATACCGATACAACTCAAGTCAAATCACAAAAGAAGACAAAAATAATAACTTGAACATAGAAAACGATAACATTTTTGCCCTTACGCTAGAAAACGAACAATAATATTAAAGAAGCAAAACATATTTAATGTGAATAACAAAAATATGTAGATTTTCATTTACTGAGTCATGATGGTTGTTGCATTAAAATATTCGTACGCGATATTTCAACACACAGGAAGTGAGACAGAGGTGACGGTGGTAGGGCCACGCAGCAGCCTCGACTGTTGCACGAATGGGCAGGCTCGTCAGGGTAAGTACCACGACCTCACAGAAGACCGGCGTAAAGTGAAAGTATAATACTTTCGCGTTTCGTCTGGTGAGTGAGGTGGCCGGAGTCCAATTTCTAAAAGGTGGTCAACACATCTGGAACCCTCGAGTGTAGCAGATGTCCATGGGCGACAGTATTCACTTAACAACAGGTGAACCGTCTGCTCGTTTGGCAACTTAAAAAGGTGATGCTTCAAGATATTTAAGGCTATTTAAAGTATCTTTTGCACTTGGTTTCCATAAACTAGTTGCTCATATTACGTGAATATTACCAGCGTTGACACAAAAGTTACATTTAACACCAATGCAAAATAACACCGTTACACTCACTTATGTGTGTATACCATCGTCTTGAAGATCAATAATGTATTTTTGTACTTAACTATGAATTTGGTCTTTCCTATGAAAAAGCCTATTTTATTTTAGATTTTTCTCTGTGTCTCATTTACATTTAGTTCGATAGTACATAGTATTTCTGCCTACCACGTTATACCAATTTTATTTTTGAACATACATTATAAGTCTATGCCCATGGCCTAAACTACATTATGACAGATTAGATTAAGAATAGTTAAATCTAATTAATGTCTGTCAACGCTGATAGATAGTGTATCGTAGTTAATAGAGCGAGATAATTAACTAGCTAAGTGAAGTAGTTAAATGTCCGTATGTGTTATATAAATGTATAAATGTCCCGTAAATGGCTGGAAACAACTGATTTCTCCCATTAACAGGATGAAGGATGACCAGATCGATATCATGAAGGCGATAATCAAATTATGATCTTAACGTATAAAAGCATATGCGTGCATACATTCAAAGTACACAAGCGAGTTATTAATGTCATAAGAGTATTACTTAAAAGGAATAATGTTATAAGAAGTTCACAATGTTGTAGGTCACTTCTTTTCTTGGAACTCTTGTTTCTTGTAAGAAACCCTTGAAAGCAATTGGAACATTTCTATTCCATTGCAAACATAGAGTGCAAGAGTTTGCCTACTCCAGTTCTGATGCAGTAGAACGGCTCAAGGAAAACTTGTGTTAATTACGTCTATAATATTATTATATCATTATATAATATATCTGATGACTGATACCCTTCCCTCAGAAAGGTCGGTAATCCACTCCTCTAACGCGCCTAGGGTTGTTGAATATGTCCATGATCAGCGATAACCACTCCTTTAACATGTCTAGGGAACATGTCAATGGAGGGTGATAATTACTAACCACTGGGTTAAACCGCTTCCTTGTTTGTAATATGTGTTTTCTTCACAAACTGAGCTACCACTCTTACTTATTTAAGCGTTTGCCCACAGAGGACACCTCCACGCCAAAGCCTAAGAAGGTTCTGGACACGGTAATGACCCCCAGTTACGTGCCGCCCGAGGAGAAGCACGGGTCCTACTGGAGGAAATCGGCCGCCGCCACCTTGGAGGCCAAGCTGAAGGAGACGACCAATACGAACAAGGCGAGGAACGGCATCATGTTCATAGGGGACGGCATGTCGCTGGCAACGGTGATGGCGGCACGGACCTTCGCCGGGCAGCTGGAGCGGGGCCTCGGGGAAGATAACGTGCTGGAATTCGAGAAGTTTCCGGTGACCGGGCTGGCGAGGGTGAGTGGATTTCAGATTCTAGTTGTAGGGCAAATATGGTTTTTAATATGTTAAAGTTGGAAAACGAGAAAAAAAGCCCCGGTTGCCTCACTCACTAGACGAAACGCAAAAGTATAAAACTTTTGCTTTACACTGGTCCAGTGAGTTCGTATGGCTTCCCAGGACACGACAATACATGCAACAGCAGAAGTTGTTGCATGGCTCCATCACAGTTTTTTTTTTCCCTTATAATATACAATTCCCAATTATTAAATACAATATTAATTTCAAATCTAATCTAATTGTTTTGATACACCAAGTGTAGTTTTAAATCTGTCTTGGTTTCATAAAATGTAATTAGTAAATTCCAGAATACTGAAGGTACCAATATAAAACTCTTCTTTCCGGTCTGGTCCTATAGTTTTTCTAATATAAATACGTTATTTTTGTAGTGTGCGAGTATTTTATCTAACCATAAGTATTTTTTTGTTAGTAAAGTCAATAATTGTAGGTGAGGCCCAAAGATAAAACAAAAAAGCTGAAAAATTACTCACCTTCAGATAAGGTAATATCATGATTGCTAAACATATTGTCAGTAAAGTAATTATATATTATATATATTGAAATATTTATAGATTTTTACTAGTAGATTTAACTTTGACTTCAAATTGATTCAAACGGCACGTATTTGCAGAAGTTTTTAATTTATTTATTTATAAAAAGCAAAATATTGTGAAGATATTTCGGTTATCACTTAACATCAGCCGCCAGCTCGCTTGCTACCTTAATAAGAAAAGAAACACAGAAATAAGAACTTAAGGCAATTCCAACTATCGACCTATGGTGTGGTTTTTGTGGAGATATTTTTTAAGATTTTTTAAATAATTTCACAAAAAATTTTTTTTTGCGTAGGGACTATGGTTTCGTCATTGTTAAAAACCACAAAGGAGAGACAAATATGATCTTGTATCATATTTTATTAACAGCATTCGCAATCGAAACCTTAATCTAAATCGATCTACAATGTAACCGATTACGTAACGAACAACGAAACAAGAAAAAATTGAGGGAGCGAATGATCGCACAGATTATGTAACTGTCAAAAAGAAACCAAACCGGTGAAACGTATCAGAGCCAACGCGATAAAGGCATAGAAAGTGAACGTTACATTGGTACAGTGTTTTTGTGCTTACTTGTTCGTGATCTTTACAGAAGCGAAGAACTGTCCAGTTGACTGAAAACTGTCCTTTGCTCCGGTCGCAAAGTAATCGTCTCCGGTGACAATGAAGTGAAAGCCGTTAACTGAACCAATCGTTTACCTTCCTTAACTATTTTCATCTACCACCAGCTAGGTGGCTAAACACTCGAGTGTTAGCCAGTTCGTGATTAACGAAATATCATTATGAATGAGTTCAATCCCAACAAGTACATGTTATATATAGAAATTTACTTGCCATACACAAAGAGAATAAATAAATATTTTAGGACACAGTTTTACACAACATTCTATAGTCCCAAACTAAGCAAAGCTTGTACTATGGGTACTAGAAAACTGATAAACTTACTTATACATACTTTTCTTTTGTAAATAAATACATATTATACATATATAAACACCCAGACACTAGAAAAACACAATGTTCATCACACAATATTTTTCCAGTAAAGGGGATCGAACCCACACCCTCTGGCACAGGAGGCAGGTATATAACCCACTACGCCATTTGGGTCGTCGAAAAAGTTAAACACTTACCGTTTTATTTCAACCATAGGTTGACAAGAACATTAATAGAAATACGCGTGTAATTTAAAAGTAAATCTGATACGTTTATCTATAAACTTCATTAAAAACTCAATAAAAAAACGCTAATTATATCAAAATCAACCAGACCATTTATATAACAGCTAAGTTGACCAGTCGTTGAGATTTTACCTGAGTATATTTGATGACACTTGAGTTTAAACGTAAGCACTCTATTAGAGAATATTCTGGCTCTTTATAGATTACTTATCATATTATGATACTGATCATTGTATTTCTATGTACATCAACTTGTACTCTTAGGGCCAATACTTAGAGATAATGCCATGGAAACTACAATCTTTCTTAGCGGGCTATGCTGTGTTCAAGTTTAATATTATTATAGTCAAAACAGAAGCCAAATAATTATCCAACAATAAGTAGGCATACACGATCCATTTGTATGGCAATCAACGCCGAAGTTTTCATTTTCTATTCCGAATATCAACTATATCTGGTCTAATACTTCATTTTGTTATTGATAACATTGGTGGATCCTCCATTGTCTCAAATTGTTGGCTACAATGTCTATAGCTACGAGTATGAACTGAAATTAATTTCAAAATCGTACTAAGTGATTTTATAATGTTAATCTCTGACTTCTTCGCCTGGCCACTCTTTGCTATGGCTTTTTTTCATTTCTGAAATTTTAATTGCATTTTTATTATATTATATTTTTTTATTATAATGCCGTGAAGGGACAAAACTTTTTGTTTGTCCGTGGTCCGTATTAATATTATAGAGATCAGATGCTTCATCTACTCTAGAGCATGCGACATACAATTGAATTGCCTTTGAGAAAAGCATTTGTTTTTAGGGTTCCGTACCCATCGGATAAATCGGGATTTAAAAATAAATGCTTAACACAAATGATTACTAAGACTCCTCTGTCTATCTGTCTGTCTGTCTGCCCGTAAGTCACTAGACTGTATATCTATCTCATGAACCGTGACAGTTAGATAGTTGATATATTCACAGATGATGAATTTCTGTTGCCGTTACATCATCAAATCCTAAAAAAAATATTTAAGTGGGGCTGCCATACAACAGACTTGATTTTTTGCCCTTTTTTATAGATAATGTTACGGAACTCTTCGTGCGTGATTCCGACTCACGCTTGGCCGGTTTTTAGTATTTGTTGTTATAGCGGCAACAGAAATATATCATCTGTGAAAATTTCAAATGTCTTACTATCACGGTTCATGAGATACAGCCTGGTGACAGATGACCAAGCAGACAGTGGATTCTTAATATTTCTAGGGTCCCGTTTTACCCTTTGGGTACGCAACACTAGAAAGTGCTATTCGTGGAAGTAAGAAAATGCAATTAGATTACTTAAACTTTTACTATTGCATAATTTAGGCTGATTGATGCTTTAAAACTCTTATTGACACTCCAATAATCAATTTCAAGATATTTGTCAATCAAAGGAGATATAGTAAAGTATATAAGTATATACTTTACTATATCTATAAAAAACAAAAGACAAAATCCACTTAAGAAAACAAAGGAAGTAACAGTTGCTAATCTTCATTATTTGCTTAACTATTTGTTGTCTATTAATCTTTATCACCTTATCAGTAACTGTAAACGTATTTAAATCCATATTCTTTATCACAAGAACTTCTTTACCATAAAGTTAAACAGGTACACGAGTATAGCTAACAATAAAGCAATATTTACTCGATAATTCATTATTAAAATTGCTCTTTTAGACTTGTACTTAACAGAAGTTGGTGTTATCACATCATCATTTTAGTTAATCAGAAAAAGCAAATAATTGTTGATAAAATCATTAACTATCATTCATTCCCTATTAAAAATATATCGTTTAAGTTTTATAGTATTATTCTGTGGGTATAAGCCACAAAATAATAAATGACAATAATAAAATAAAATATTATTCTGGGGCATGAATTGATTAAGATATTATGCTTTTACATAACACGACTTTTATGACTTAATCATCAGTAATTCCTATTATTCATAATTTTTTCAAACATACACCACTTTAACATTATACAGAATTGAATTTAAAAGTTTTCATCAAAAGCGCAATCATAAAGGTACAGAGTTGTCTATGATTATATATATAATATAATAATATACGCAATTCGTATATTGTTTAATTGATAATACAGTCCGTCAAATAGAGATAAATATGTACATTTTGATTTCTTGTTTTTACGCGAATATTATACATACATGGAAAATGTTAATAATGAGACATCTCAATTCCTTTCTACACGCTTGGCTTTAGTGGTTACAAATTATTTATGAATTGCAGTCACGATGGCTTACAGGAAAAATATTCGTGTTAAGGAAACGGGAAAGTACCTTAATGCAAACCGGTTACATCTGATTATGGATGCATGTGAAGCTAACGAAAATCAGGGTCAAACGGAATTTTGTCGACTTTATAGCATGTTTTCACCTTCAGTCCATGTAACATTACAAGGTTTCACAAATCGTTTTCAAAGGCTGTCCTAATTTAAACTTGCACTCATAGAATCTTCTTTTTCCTGGCCTTATCCCACCCCTGGCGTTATCCCACCTTTTTTTTGGTATCCGGGGGAAATCTTCAAAAGATACCCTGTCAAGATCTGACAGGGTTACGTGGCGGTCGCACCCGGTGGCCGCTTTCTCTACATTCCGGGACTCCAGGATTTCCTACGGAACGCACCGGTGTCCCTCAGTACTGCGCGTGAGCACGCCTCGGGCATGATTCCCCGATTCCTTTGCCATCTTGCAGCAGCTCGCAACCACTTCGTCAATCTCTCTTTGTGTTGATATAATGTTCATGCAAAAGGAATGTTGTTATTGTCAGAGTGTTTTTACGCAAATTAGAAGATAATTGCATGAGAGTCATTCGAGAGCTACCTTGACATCGACGAAACATTTTGAGAATTTGGTCCAGTTAAAACTACTGTAAAGTATGAATTCATCGAGGTACACGAGGACACACCGTTTTCATGTTAAACTCAGAGGTTTCTCTTTAATTAAAGAGCTCCCAAATATGATAGATACTAACACCAACGCATAAATTAAACCATGAGTGTTGTGAAGCGAAATGGAAATATAGACATCAATTTAAAAAAATAATCTAACAGGCCTACTGCTGGGCTTCCTCTGTACAGCAGGTATAAGGGTAGATTCCACCACCCGATGCTACTGTGGATTGACGGACTATATGTATCTTTGATTTTTTTTTATTATTCGG